GGTGGCAAGACATAGCTCTACATATTACATGTGACAATACATGGCGCAATGAATTATGGGGCTGGCATAGATTTTTTTTCCAGGGCTGCTTTATATCCCCAGTCCTGCCCTGGGTATTGGCCAGCAGGATAACAAATCAACCAAATGGGCGTCTGACTCAACCCCCTCTAGGGGAATGTTTTTAATTTATATCACTGCCTCACACCTGCGATTCCTTGCCACTTCAGCAAAACATATACCTGCTTTTGAGGCTTACTTCACTTTATTAATTTTTTGTTATAGCAGCATTGTCTTAAATGTTTTGTTAAACAGTGAATTCCGATATATCTGAATCATGTTTGCAAAATGTAGCAAATTTTTTTACCAAAAATAAATAAATCTACAGTTGGCTTCTGACAACTCACGGTTTAGTGAATGAACCACTAAGAAATGTTTTGCACTTTTGGACAAATTGGTCTTATTACAGCAACCATATGATATTTCACAAGTTAAAATGCAATTGCTGAGATTTATTGAGAACAGATGTAAAAATAATAATTACAAACAACACCAGATGGAGAATTTGGCAAATACAACACAACAGAAAGAAAAAAAAATGGCTTCATGGCAATCATCCTTTATAAATTAATAAAAGAGCACTAATTACTTAAAGAGATATTTCAAGTACAACACTAACTAGTGCTTGTTTGAAGTGGCGATGAGGCAATTAGTTTGTGTTGTCTTTCCAGTATATATCAAATCCTGCACACAAAAAAAGAAAATTTGTATGGTTTGAGCACAGTTGCATGCTCACACTGCAATTAGAGGAGAATAGTACAGAGATAGATTAGGATTTGGCCAACTCTAAAATTCCTGACCTGTGTGATTTTGGCAGCACCAAATCTAGAAACTTCCTTAGATCCCTCTATCAAAACATACTGGAAACCATCCCCTGGTTCATCCACCCATCCCATACTCTTCTGAAGAAATATTAGCTAGGTTTCTTCTCCTCTAAATCACCTCAAATAAATATCATAGTCTTATGAACATCTCTACCATTCCCTACAACCCTTGAACGCATTCCCAACCACCTGAGACAGAATAAGTTACCAGTGTGTCTTTTCCTAAACTTACTGACACAAAATGTCATGTGCCTGTGCAAGGCTGCACAATAAAGATTCAGGTACAAGGCTGCCAGTTCTCTGATTACCAAACGCCCCTCTCCTTTGTTATGTCCATGTCACGTATTTATTCGCTCATATAAATGTGATTACTGGCATTTACTGTACTGACAGGAAAAGTTGTGCCGAGCAACATTACTGTCCTGACAGGAAAAGTTGTGCCGAGCAGCAACCATGCACATGGAAACCTGGTAATTACTTTTGGGGTCAAATGCTGATCATGGCCAATCAAATCCACAGGAGGGCTTGTGCTGAGCAGCAATAATGCACATGAAAACCTGGTAATTGCCTTTGGGGTCATAGGCCGGTTACAGCCAATCGAACCCAGCTCTCTTCCTGCTCATTGCTCTGTCATGGTTTCATGCCTATGGTTATCCAAAAATGCATTCCTGATCTTGATTTTCAGGTATTTGACTTTGGCTTTGTTTAGACTTCCCTGATATCTGGTATCCTTGACTTTTGGCTTTCCCTCATCTTTGTGTCTGATTCTGTGTCCCTGACCTCGGCAAGAATTTTGACTATTCTTGGAGACGTTAAGTCCGGCCATTCTAAGGTCCGGTTATAAGTTATCCTTAGTCCTAGGTGTGACACAGTACTGCGTGCTGGATCAACTTGTAATCCTGACAGCCAATTGGTCAGGAGTTGCCTAGGTAGATACCAGAAACCCCCAAGAGATGGATATTAGTGAGTTTGTAGCCTGGTTCAATGTAGAAAAGCGTGTGGAGATGTGAAATTCTCCATTTCAGGCTCAGCAGGCGAGTAACTCTGTAACTGGACAGACTAATGATGCCAAGCCAAGAGAACCATCATTAGCTGGTGGAGTAACAAAGACCAAGTCTGTTGGTCAGTAGCTCTTTGAGCCGAGAGATTGTCCACCATACTGATCTTTGATCTACAGGTAGGCCGCAAACTGATCACACCTCAAGAATTACCGATTCGGATTGCTTATTGATCAGCTGGATTTCAGCACAGACATCTAAACTGGAGTTTTCGTTTAACTGCCCCACATACCTTGTATTTAGTTAGATTGTTGCTAAGTCTGTCATGGAGATCTAAAACTACTTCTTGAAATGTTTAGTATAGGTAATACAAAATACACTGTAAAAGGTTGTAGGGTAGGGTAGAAATTAAGCAGAATTTGTGTGTGACTGTGGAGTAAGGCAGTAAAGCCCTGCCTAGCTGTTGTCTATTGATCAGTTACTAGTGATGTCAGGAGGTGTCCAGTTCCACAGTGTTAGGTAGTGCTCCCTCTATATAGGTGGTATACAGGGGGAGGCAATATAAATGTTACATAAAGAGTGAAATAAATACTAACTCCTATAACAAATTATATATTAATTCTAACTTCATACCCATACCCCAATTGTTTCTTATAATTATGTAGAGTCTCTTCCATAACCCTTAATTAAAATAATCAATGTTAATAAAAGTTATAATTATCCTGATTGTCCAACAGAGTCAAACAATGCCCTTGACACCTCATCATCTACTTTTGAAATAGGATGCAAATAATAATGAAATGCCTGTTGCAATCAAAAGGAAAACCCTACCTACAATGAAAACGATAACCTATTACATCTTGAGTTCCATGAATGCTGAATTGTTTGTCTGGAATCACATCCAGCTAATATCGATGAAAAAGAAAGTGGAATCAGTTAACATAAAGGGCATTTAATTGCATTTGTGCCTTCTGTTAAAGACTCTTTTGTTTCCTATACAGTTTATTGAATGGTTGAGTAATAGCATTTTGTTTTCTTTGTAAAAAGAGTGCAGTAGTTTTTATTCAGCCTTCAAGGATCTGTTGTCTGTTTTATCAAATAATAATCCCTTTATCAAATAATTATTATCAAATAATTGTTAGTGAGGGAGAGAAGGGCCACATTTTGGTTAACACTCTCAACCACACAACACAGGTAGAAACATTTATTCAGTCCTTAAAAGGACCACTATAGGCACCCAGACCACTTCAGCTCAATGAAGTGGTCTGAGTGCCAGGTCCCTCTAGTGTTAACCCTGCAGCTGTAAACATAGCAGTTTTAGAGAAACTGCTATGTTTAAACTAGGATTAATCCAGCCTCTAGTGGCTGTCTCATTGACAGCCAGTATGTCAATGATGTCCATAGGAAAACATTGAGTAATGCTTTCCTATGGGTGGTTTGAATGCGTGCCCGGCTCTTGTCGTGCATGCGCATTTGGATCGGACGTCGGCAGGAGAGGGAGAGTTCTCTGGCGCTGGAGAAAGGTAGGGGTTTTAACCCCTTCAGCACAGCAGGAGTGGGATCCTGAGGGTGGGGGGGGCCTTTGATATGTCACTAATTTAGCCATAAAGATTTCAGGACAGGACATGTTTGCATGCTATTGCCCTATTTATTCCAAGCAGTTTCATTATAGGAATCAACATTTCCCATAGAAATTAATGTAAATTTTATTAATCTGTTCCAGACAAATTACAGCATTTTAACACAAATTTTACTGTTCATAGAAATATAGAATGTGACGGCAGATAAGAACCATTCGGCCTATCTAGTCTGCCCAATTTTCTAAATACTTTTATTAGTCCCTGGCCTTATCTTATATCTAGGTGTCACATCTTGCTCTGTTCTGCGGAGATGTCTGGCTTTGGCTTCTGGTATCCAGTACTCTTTTTACAATTCTTGTTTAGTTTTTCTGGTTTTCTATTCCATGTCTGGTTTTCTTTATGCTGGGTTTTCTGCAGGCAGTTGTTTCAAGTCCTCTGACCCTTTCTTGCAGGTAAGTGCTGTGTGTGTTTTATTATGGTTTATTTAGTCATGCATATCTAGGCAGTTAGGACCCACCGTAATTGGAGTACTTTGCTGCAGTGGTGGGCTGCATTCATCTTGGCCATTTATGTATGTCTAAATCTCCAATGTTTATTACATATATAGTACTTAGTTATGTCTCCTCTTGTTTTGCCTTGTATCTCTGGTCTTGTTTTATTTTGTCTTGTATTCCCAGTTCATGTACAGTCCTGTCCTGCCCTGTTAATGTTTCCCTCATGTCTTGTGTACATGTTCTGGGTTCTGTTTTCTGTCCTGCTCCGGTTCTGGGTTCTTCTAGTCTTGTTATCTTGTTATCTTGTTAGGTGCCTGTCCTAGTCTTGCCTTGTTTCTGTACTGGATACATACCTGCTGCAGAGCCTCCCTATCCAGTTCCTGGGAGGTCTGTATATCATCAAGCGCCTAGTTCTTGGATCCGCAGAAGCTGCATCAGGGCCTTGGTACGTGGCCGCACAAACGCTGTTGCTCAACACCAGGGGGCGATGGTTACCCTGCACGAGGCCCTGATGGTCCATTCCACACTGAGACTCCCATCATCATCAGGCACTCAGGGGTCCCGATCTCCGTACCGCCACCCGTGACACTAGGATAGCCTTATGTCTATCCCACGCATGCTTAAAGTCCTTTAATGTGTTAATCTCTACCACTTCAGCCACTGCACTCATTTGTCCTTTTTCCTAACCGAGGCCCCTTTCCTTCATTTTCATCTGTAAATGCTAAACATAAATATTCATTGAGGCAGGCAGTCATGCATAAAATCATATAGAAATAAAATAAACAAAATGTACAGTAAATCAAATGAAAAGGTCACTTTACTTTACCTGTAATGATGATAATTGATGGCGTAAGTGGAAAGGAGAAAAGCTATCATAGTTTCTTTCCCTTGATCGTTTCACACCACTGAAACCTGGTTGAGGCTCACTGGACCTTTTCTTCACTACAAATTTGTTTATTGAGACTTGCTGTTGCTTATGTTTTAAAAAGTGTCTAAAGTGAAACATAGCATCGGTGATTTGCACTTCAACCCACTTCCCACACATTTCTTTGATCAGTGCACTAGGAATATTTTCCCTTTCCTCCTCCTCTGAAGACAATTCCTCAGATGCCCTCTTTTGCTGCTCCCTCTGAAGGTCTTGGAGTTCTTCTGTGGTGAGTTTGTTCTGGTGATCCTCCACTAACTTCTCCACATCTTCATCATTCACCTCCAAGCCCAATGATTTACCCAGAGACACTATTTCCTCAACAACAGGAGCATTTTGTTCAATACCGTCATAAACACATTCCTCCATGCATTTTCTATGATGTGTAAACAATGTAGGATATTAACATGATTTTTCCAGAAGTCTCTAAGGGTTAGCTCTGTGTCTGAGGTTAAGCCAAAGCACCTTTGGAACAGTGCTTTGGTGTAAAGCTTTTTGAAGTTTGAAATTACTTGCTGGTCCACGGGCTGGATAAGAGTAGTTGTATTGGGGGCAAAAACCTCACAGTAATAAAACTGAATTCCTCCATCAATGCGTCCTCCTATCCTGGAGGGTGAGCAGGAGCATTAGCCATAAGAAGCAGAGCCTTGACAGGTAAGTTGTTTATTTATTTATTGTAGATATTTTTTAACACTTGGCCTAAACACCTCATGAACATACTCAATAAAAAATTGCCAGGTTACCCAAGCTTTGCTGTTAGCCCTTCACATCACCTGCAATTTGCTTTTCAGGACATGTTTTTTTTCTTAAATACCCTCCGGTTCTCCGAGTGGTAGACTAGCAAAGGCTTAAATTAAAAATCCCTACTCGCATTCCCACGCAACAACAGGGTTAGCCTGTCCTTCATTGGCTTGTGGCCTGGCAATGATTTCTCCTCCTTTGTTATGTAGGTCCTCTTTGGCTTTTTCTTCCAAAACAGGCCTGTCTTATCACAGTTAAACACTTGTTGGGGAACAAATTCCTCAGCCTCTACATAGTGTCAGGGGTGGCGGTTCTGTGACCGGGACCCAGTATGCCTGATCTTGAGCGTAGGAGTCACTGTGTCGAAATTGATTATCAGGGCCTGGTGCAGGGTAACTGCACGCCCCTTGGTGTTGAGCACCAGCGTTTGTGCATCCACATACCAGGGCCCTCATGCAGCTTCTGCGGATCCCAGGTGCCAGATGACAATAAGCAGACCTTCCAGGATTTGAATAGGGAGGCTCTGCAGCAGATATGTATCCATATGTAAAAAAGGTAAGACTAGAATAGACACCAAACAAGAAAACAAGACAAAACTAGGAGAACCCAGAACTGGAGCAGGACAGAAAGCAGAACCCAGAACATGTAGACAAGACATGAGGAAAACAAGAACAGGGCAGGACAGGACTGCACATGAACTGGGAATACAAGACAAAATAAAACAAGACAATATATATGGTAGCACCCGGGTGTGCACTGTAAATACCAGTTGCGCATTACTCCATTTTTTTCTTGCTTGAAAATACACTGGAGGAACTACAGTGGGAGTTTTTATGCTGCACGGTTATACTGTTGTTACTGCTTATTGAATCAGTGCAGGCAGATTTTCTGCCTCTACCTCTTACTGCATAGTGATCTTTGACCTCTCGGGTGGCGCGCCTGGCATGCCCCATCGGTAGCGAATCCTGGCAGCCTGTATGCGTTGAGTAACTGGACAGAGTGATGCTCTCCATGTGAGAGTGGCTCTGCTGAGGTCTTCATATAAAGACAGATTTTAGCTTTTTTAAAGTCCAGTGATTGTCTGTCACAAACGGCAGACAGCACTGCCCATTTGTCAGCAAGAGAACGGAAAGTCACTATCACGTTTCGCAGGGGAGCTGTCGTGGAACCTTCAAGGAGCATTAATTTCTCCTGCTTAGGTGACAGTAGTGAGAAGAGTAACCGTTGGATATACTGAGGCAGATCTGCACTGCCAATGTCGCTGCACCCCCCCCTGATCTTCAGGTTTCGGTGGCGTAGGGTGTCTGCTACCCGGCGTGTGAGCTGCTGGGTGATTATGGCAGTATCATGTTGAGTCTGACAAGCCGTCACAGCTTCTTCCTCCACTGACTGTACACGGCTGATGAGGGTATGCATATCGTCATATATCTTTGCACAGTCAGCTTGGTACGGAGCTCATTCAGGAGTTGTTTCAGGTCACCCTTGGTAGTTGGGGCACTGTCTTCATCTTCTTTAGGAACTCTGTTATACGTCGTCCTAGCAGACGTGGCCCTGGCTTCTGGGATTGGGTCCAGAGCGTCATACTCCAGATCTTCCGGCACCTGCGCGAGGGAGCAGTGAGGTGCAGGAAGGAGATCTCCAGACAGAAGTTCCCCACACCAGCTCCCAAAGGTATGGAACAATAAATTAAATGATGTGTGTGTTGTGTGTGTCTGTCAGTGAGTATGTGTATGTGTCTGTCAGTGTGTGTCTATCAGTGAGTCTGTTTGTGTGTCTCAGTAAGTATGTGTGTCTGTCAGTGTGTCTGTATGTGTGTGTGTGTGTGTGGTAGAATGGGGTGCTGTGGTTTACTAGAGGGGGGCTTCTGGGATTAAGTAGAGGGGGATGCTGTTTTTTTTTATTCTGTACGTTTTAAAATAAACCTACGTTTCTATGAAAATTTAAGGTATTTTTTTTTGCGGCCCACATAAACTTAAACCTTGTTTATGTGGCCCGTGCCAGACTTTGAGTTTGACATGCTTGGCCTACTCTATAAGCCGCTCTCAAAATGGAACATGTGGCCACAGAATTCTAAGCACCGTGCACTTTGCAGTAACGCAATGTGGTTATGGCACTAAGACTTACGTTTTAAAGGTTATAGATAATAAATTACATAGTTACATAGTTACATAGCTCAAAAGAGACTTGCGTCCATCAAGTTCAGCCTTCCTCACAAATGTTTTTGCTGTTGATCCAAAAGAAGGCAAAAAACCTGGTCTGAAGCGCTTCCAATTTTGACACAAACTAGGAAAAAATTCCTTCTTGATCACAAAATAGCAGTCAGATGTCTCCTTGGATCAAGCAGCTATTACCCCACTAATTAGAAATTATATCCCTGTATGTTATGTTTTTGTAAGTATTTATCCAATTTCAGTTTAAACATCTGTATGGACTCTGACAAAACCACCTCTTCAGGCAGAGAATTCCATATCCTTTTTGTTCTTACTGTAAAAAAACCTTTTCTTTGCCTTAGATGAAATCTCCTTTCTTCCAGCCTAAATGTGTGACCTCGTGTCCTATGTATAGCCCTGTTTATGAATAGATTTCCAGATAAAGGTTTGTACTAGCCCCGAACATATTTGTATATCATATCCCCTCTCAGGCGCCGTTTTTCCAAACTAAACAGATTTAATTTTTTTAACCTTTCTTCATAACTAAAATGCTCCCTTCCTTTTATCAATTTTGTAGCTCGTCTCTGGACCCTCTTCAGTGCCATGATATCCTTCTTTAGAACAGGCGCCCAAAATTGCACAGCATATTCAAGGTGTGGTCTTACCAGCGATTTATAAAGAGGCAGAATTATATTTTCATCCCGAGAATTTATGCCCCTATTTATACATGACAAAATTTTACTGGCCTTAGCAACTGCAGATTGACATTGCATATTGCTGCCTAATTTGTGGTCTATAACAATTCCCAAATCCTTCTCGTGTGTGGTTATCCCTAATTCACTACCATTTAGTGTGTAAGTTGTTTGTGCATTCTTAACACCGAAGTGCATAACTTTGCATTTCGCTATGTTAAATTTCATCTGCCATTTTAGTGCCCAGTCCCCCAATCTATCCAAATCTCTCTGCAGCAAAGCAATATCCTGCTCACATTTTATTACTTTACAAAGTTTTGTGTCATCTGCAAACACTGATACATGGCTTTCAATGCCTATTTCAAGATCATTTATAAATATGTTCTCCGCCGTTGAAGAGCAAACACTACCCCACTGCGGCTCTCAGCAACCACCCGACTGCACGTAAGGCAGGTGTAGCAGTTCTCACCCATGCTCAACTACAGTTCCAGGAAGTGGAACGACTGGTTGATCCTAACGGCAGATACCTGTTCCTTAAGGGAGACATACAAAACCGTAGGTACACCCTCGCGACGATATATGCACCAAACATCAACCAATCACACTTGATACGTAAATCTCTCTCCAACCTCTCCTCATTCACAGAGGGCACGTTAATCGTTGGAGGAGATCTTAATGTTCCCCTCATCCCACTCATAGATTCATCCACGGGACACAGTAGCATCACCCAAGGAGCCCTCCGAAGCATACAGAAAACGCTTAAGAACCTTAGGCTGGTGGATTGCTGGCGAGCGATGCACCCGGCAGACAGGGAATACACCCACTACTCGGTGATACATAAGCGATACGCGAGGATTGACTACATCTTCCTTCAACCGGAACATCTTGACGCTATCCAAAAAGCAGAAATTGGATCAGCAAGCTGGTTGGATCATGGTCCTGTGACCCTGCAAATGGACTCCCCCAGGGTACGCCCAACCGCTAGGTCATGGCGACTCCAGGACTCATTACTCTTGGACCCATCAGTGAAGGAAACGGTTTCCGAGGAACTCACTTCCTATTTCGCACTGAATGAGACAGATGATCTCCCCGCGACCACGATATGGGAAGCGCACAAAAGTGTGCTCAGAGGGACACTGATGCGCTTAGCTTCTCAGAAGAAGAGAGAATCTCGGAAACATATGACGGACCTACTAACGCGCATAACTACGCTTGAAATGCAACACAAACGTTCCCACCTCGAGGGGACATATAAAGAATTATTGGAAGCCCGAAGATCTCTACATACACACATGACGAATCGACACTATAGCTCCATACAACGATCGAAGGCCTTCTTCTACCAACACGCCAACAAAGGAGGGCGGCTGCTGGCCAGAATGCTTAGAGGCCCCCAGGGCATGACCCAGGTACATAAGCTGCGGACATCAGACGGCACGATCACACAATTCCCGGATAAAATAGCATCCGAGTTTCGCACATTTTACGCCTCGTTATACAACATCCCGGGACCCACACTCCCGGAGGAGGTAACACTCAGACGGGATAGAATAAGGAGTTACATCGAATCACACGTGAAGACGAGGTTGCAGCAAGGGGAACCGGAGTCACTGGATATACCGATCACGGAGGCAGAAGTGGCAGGGGCACTCAAGACCGCCAAAACGGGACGGGCCCCAGGCCCTGATGGCTTCACCTTGGACTACTATAAAAAGTTCCGAACCCTACTGCTCCCGAGACTCACCAACGCATTCAACGCTTTGATAGATGGCGCCCGATTCGGACCCGAATCATTAGCGGCAACTATAACGGTTCTCCCGAAACCTGGGAAGGATCCCGAACTCTGCA